AATCTAAAAATAAGTGAGAGATATCTTACTCCTTTTTTTCATAATGTCATGTTAGTCAGAAGAGCATTCTGTGCCGCTCTCCATGCCAGGATTTTTAGTTTGGGTGAAGCAGTACACTTCCACAGTTGTTTCCGTGATCTCTTCTCCTGGTTTATTCGATCCACATCAAGAGGAAATATCCTATTATAAGCTAGGTGATAACCCGATTTTACTGTGTAGTTTCCATGCTCTATTGACAACCATATCAGTTTTTCATTTTCATGACTGCGGTTTGGATCAATATAGATGGCCAAAATGCGTTGAACCAGATCAGGTGCAAAGATTGTCCAGAGAGAAGGTATTTTCCACTGTCCTATCAGCTTTATAAAATTTGAAACCCGCAAATCTGTATGTGTAGCAAGTATCGAATCATCAGAGATTTGATTAGACCGATTTGGGATCCAATTCTCATTAATTTTAACACTTGACCCAGATATCACCTTCCATCTAATGTTGGCATGCAGAAGCTCATATCCCACATAATACTTTTAAAATCCCCAAGAAGTATTATTCAAATTTGGTGCACTAGGAAAGACCCCTCCTCTACAGTACTTGCCACAAAAAAATCTTGAGATCAAAGATTGTGGTGCCATTTTTATTTTCCATGCATGTTTGGCTAGAAGAGTTTGGTTAAATTCTTTGGATGACTTGAGCCCCAAAGCTCCATGAAGAGTGGACCGTCACATTTTTTTCCAAGACTTCCAGTGAATGCCTTGGTTATCCTGATCACCTTTCCAAATGAACTTTGCAATAATCTGATTGGCTTTGTTCAAAGTCTCAAAAGGTAACTTGAAAACACCCATGGGATATACCAACATTGAAGATAATGTGGACTTGGCAAGAGCAACTCTTCCAGATAGTGATAAAAGCTTCGTTTTTCAATCACTAAATTTGGCAGTCAATTTCTTCGTGAAGTCTTCAAAAACCTGCTTCTTTTTTCTGTTAAAATCCAAACTCATGCCAAGATATTTACTGTGGAAATTTTTAGAACCAATACCCTAGGTATTATGCCTATGATTCCTCCAGTGTACCGGTGTGTTTTCACTTAATAAAATTGAGGATTTTGCCACATTAACACGATGTCCAGAAACCCTTGCATACTGATTGATTAATTGGGACAAAGAGTTGATTGAGCTCTCCCTACACTCAAAAAAGAAGATACTGTCGTCTGCATACATCAGGTGGCTTACTCTTGGTGCTTGTCTGGTGATCCTTATACACAATCTTGGTAAAGTTCTAATCTCGGCTCTGATTGACGATGAAAGTGCTTGTTGGCAGAGAATAAAAAGATACGGTGAAAGGGGGCAACCTTGTCGAAGCCCTTTATTTGGCTTGAAATAAGCAGAGCCTTCGCCACTAAATTGGATAGAGTATGACACTATAGTAACACAGTGCATAATTAGCTTTACCAAATTCTCCAAGAACTGAAGACGTTGCAAAACTTCCTTGAGAAAAATCCAGGAGACCCTATCATACGCTTTACTCATATCCAATTTGACCGCGGCTACACCCACCTTGCCATCCTTTTTTCGTATGAATTCCACAATCTCATGCGCTATAAGAATATTTTCACTAATATTCCTGCCCGGGACAAAGCTATTTTGATGATCATCAATTAAATCATTCATGATGCTCTTCAATCTATTGGTGATCATTTTGGTGATGACTTTGTATTTGACATTATAAAGACTAATCGGCCGGAAATCGTTTGTTGTGGTTGGATTGGAATGTTTCGGTATTAGTACCAAATTCGTCTGATTCCACTCTTCTGGAAATTCTTGTTTTTTTTGTGGCATCAAGAATTGCTTGCGTTACCTCAAGTTTGATCTCCTTCCAATAGTGCTGATAGAAGCCGGCAAGCATTCCGTCAGGTCCCGGGGATTTCCAGGGTGCCATTTGCTTAAGCACATCCCAAACTTCCTGTGCTGCAAAAGGTTGATTGAGGTAGCCTTGTTGTTTAGAAGACAAAACATCCTCCATTGACTGTAGCAGCCGTTGACAATGAGCATCATTCCCACCCTGTGTGGAAGATGAATCCATACGTGCGTCTATATCAGAGAAATGCTCATGAATTAGACCCTTGTTCTGAATCTTGTAATCAAACCCCATCACCGTCTTTTAGCTCGGTTATCCATTTATTTCCTTTTTTTCCTTATGGCCCATTTGTGAAAAAATTTGGTATTTTTGTCTCCCTGAATAGGCCAAATCAATTTTGATCTCTGTTTCTAATAGTCCTCTTGAGTTTGAAAAGCTAATTCCATCTCCTCTTTCAAAGCCTAGAGTGCTTGTTGTGCCTGATCATTTGATGGATTTTCCTCCCAGGTTAGTTGTTGTGCATTCAGTTCTTCAGCAATTTTTGTCACATACTTGTCAATGCTTCCAAACTTCTCTTTACTCCATTTGGACAAACTATCCAAGCATCTTTGAGGCCTACAAATAGCAGCTCTTGTTTGTTATGATCTGGGTGCAGTGAAGTGTTCCAGGCAGTTTGAATGACTTCTTTTGGCTTATTGTATCTTGTCCAAAATTGTTCAAATATTTTCTTCCATTTTAGTTTCCTACCCTGGTCTTTTAGATCCACCAAAAAAATTGGTCCATGATCTGAGCGCATAATTGGAAGGTTTCTGATCAGTGCCTTGTTGAAGTGTTGGTGTCATTCGAATACCGAGTTCGCTACTCATTTTATGTGAAAGGGAATAATTTTGAATCACATCAGTTTAGCCATTCAAGAGCTCATCATCTTTCTGATTAGGATGAAATTTCATAGGCTATTTTTTACATAGGTTTTGAAGTGCACGTTACTTAGATTTGAAAAGTACAAGTAGTGGCTGACTATATCAAAATTTGAACGTAGTGCCTTAGTTTCACCTCGCATTATGATAATGTACTTTGACCAAACACTGTCATAATGGAGAACAAATGTGGAAACATAGAGTTTACTACTTTTTGATAATATTAGTAACAAGAGATAGTTGTATGAAACACACATGAAAATTTTTATTTCAAACAAAAGAATGATAATGGCTCTATTCTATATTGCAGTCTATACATACATAACAAATTGTATGGTATCGCAAGCTTCCAGGTTCTTAAATTTCTCTCATGTTTCCAGTTGCAATGATTCCCACCAATGCTCTATTGAAGTGGGCGAATATATCAATGCTACATTATCAATTGCTCTAGCTACAATCTCACTAGGAACACCAATTCCCTGCTAATTCTTGAAGAGCAACATCATCAATCTGACTAGCAACACTAAATACAAGATGAGGAAGCAACTTTAACTCCCTCGACCTTCAAGTGTATCAAATTGACTCATGAAAAATGAAATGGTGCACGGAAAAGGACAACAAAACAGCCCAGAAAGTGACGAATAAAAGCCGGATTATGTTTTAGCAGAGTCGCCTCAAAAAACATATTCAAATCACATTGATACCCACGGTTAAAGTTCTAATACTACCTCCACATTCAAAATGTAAAAGACAATTGAAAGGTTGCTATGATCTGTCCATCAATGGAGTAAACATACTAGTGTAATGTCTCGACCAACCTCAAACATTAAGCAGTAAGCAATTCAAAACAAAATCAAACAAAAACTTGAACTTCAACGAGAAGAACAAAGATCTGAAAAACATATAAGAAATTAAGCAGAGTAAACCAACCTCAATGAAACATCCAGTTCCCACGTCAACTAACACCTTATCAGCATCATCTAGAGTTCCAGTGACATAAATCCCTCTCAATTAAACCCAAAACCAACATAACCATAGATATCAGCACTGCAAGCCCTAAACCTAGATCAATCAACCAGTTCAAATTCCCCAAAATTAAATGTAAATGTTAAGTAAAAAAAGAAACTATAGGGACCTTGAGGGCGGAGGGAGTCGAGACGGGGGTAAGGCTATCTTGCAGGAGATTCACTTTAACATCAGCTTGTTCCTTTACGGCTTTTAGTTGTTATAGTCAAGTCAAGCACAAACAAAAACCATCACAAAATTCTGCACCATTGAAAACAAAACAGAAAAAAACACTAAATATTCATCAATTGTAAAACCCTATTTCAAAAACAAATGCCATACCACTTTCTGAAGTCTCTCCCGGCGATTCCGATACCGAGCCCAATCAACGAGGGTCTACCAATTGCCTTCGGGAACAGTACTACTGTCAGAATAAAGTCATTCAAGACGAATTTATTGATCTCTATGGCAATTCCTTCTGTTCCGGCAGATCATGGAAGCAACAGCAACAATTGTGGGAGTTTGTTTTTTTTTGTTTTTTTTTTCTTTTGAATCGAATTGAGGAATTATCTGATTTGGTTTTAATAGAGCATCGACTGGAGGAAATTTGGCGAACAAAAGAACCCGAGTCAAAAGGCTGAGAAATTAAAGGACACGTTGCCTTGTTTGATTGGCTTGCTGCACCACGTAAAGCTACTAATGTGGTGCAACCGCTGCACCAAATAATTTCTCATTTTTTCGATGATGGAGGCGATGTAAAATTGGGAGTTCAAATCCCACTTATTAAAATTCCAAGTGTCGTATACTCGTATGGTATTATTTTATTCCCCCTTTCCTTTTATATAAGAAATCAAACTCTAAAACCCTTTAATTTTTTAGCCTAATATTGGTGGAAGTTCCATTTTCTCATAAGTGGAAAGGTTGAAGCTGACATTTTTTTAGTTCACTCACTCTCTATTTAAACTCTAGAGTTCCACAGTAGCACTGGCAATAAATTTTATATTATTTTAAACTCTAGAGTAAGGACAACAGATTAATTTGTTTTAGCTTCTAAGTTTTGTGTATTAAAACCCAAAAGCACTTTGCTGATGAAAATGAAGTAATTTAATGTGGTTCGATCATCTACATATGCATTATTATTCTACCTCATACAAAATACATAAAACCATAATCATAATAAAGTTATATCATTTAATCAATTCAACGAGATTGATATATGATGTGACATAACAACATTATTCAGTCTTTCTCCGGGTCATGGGTTTTTGCTTTCATTCTATAACATCAATCAATAACAAAATTGATCCAAACGGGTCGAACTTCAAAACACCATCTATTTTCATAATCCATAGCTAGCTGAATGCCGGAAGGATTCCAAAATTGAAGCAATAACAAGTGACTCATCATCATGACTCTCATCTATATGATCACCGAAGTCCTCCTGAGATGACTCAGGAGTACTAGGAGGCGGGGGTGGCGGTGGAAGAGGAGGAGAAGAAGGCGGCGATGAAGGTAACATTGGTGGCACGGACGCCAGAATAGGGTACACAAAATTGGTGCGAGCATTGTGAATGCCGGTAAAAGAAATGGAAGCAAGATCATAAGCAAGAGCAGCTTCTTCAGCAGTGTCAAATGAGCCTAACCAATGCCTTTCTTTAGTGGTTGGATTCCTTATCTCAGCTGCATATCTTCCCCATGGTCTTCTCCTAACACCTAGGTATCTTGTTGAGTGTCTACTGCTTCTTCTCCCATCTTGATTCGCATTTATACAAAGAAGTTGAGAAAGGTTTTCGAAGTTAATATAGGTTGATTGCTCTTGAGGAGCACTCATTTTTTTGAGGAGCTTATAGATGTTGAGGCCTAGGAATGATGTGAAATAGGCTTCTTATTTATAGAGTACTTGAGGAGAGATATGATTAAGGTAACTTTTTTGTAATGATTAGAAGTGTGGGAGTATTTCTTTTCTAGATATTTATTAACTCCCTCCGTTCCAAAATAAGTATCATTTTAACAAAATTGAGAAATTCCAAAACAAGTGTCGTTTTCGGATTCCGATGTATTTTTTGTCAAAAATTTTCAAACATACCCTCAAAAGAAATAATATTATTGGTGAGCATTTATTTTAATGGAGTTGATTTAGGATATTCTACTAATTTAACTACCTTAATTAAGAGTTTCTTAAACTGTGTGCAAACTCTAGAATGACACTTATTTTGGAACAAAGGGAGTATTGATTTTCTGATGTTCTCAATGGCGTATATAAATAAGATTTAAAATCTAACTAACCAGTGATCGAAATGAAAAGATGCAAAATAGAATGATGCAAATAAAATGGAAACGAAATGTAATAAATGAAACGAATAATATCGTTAGCTAAATTTTAGAGCATTACTTCAGCTCCAAGCTCTCTCGGAGAAATATATATTACCAAACAAATTACCTACTGTAGGGGTTTTTTGATTTGTAAGTGCTACAATATATCATAAATTCTTTTCCCCGAGCATTTCTCATTCATGAGTCAAGTGGGGCAGGTAGGATTAGCAATATGGCCAATCTTCTTACATTAAAATAAGGGGATGACTACAAACTTGTTTTGTTTGTATACTGGAGGTTTAATTGGCATTACATCCTTATTTTCCTCGCTTTGACACGATAAATGTAGGCAAGAACCCGCAAGTTCTTGCAAGATTAATCATGTTTGCATTAGTTCTTGTTGAGCACCAATTCTCTCTCTTCCATAAGAATTGGTACAATGTTGTGTACTTCAACCTGACAGAGACATACAATAATGGCACCTATACAGGGCTTTCTTCTTTGACTTTACTTACCACCACCCCCACACCCCCAAAAAAAAATGTATATTTCATTTTGTTATATACATATATATATTCGATACATAATCTATCATTAGAAGAAAAGACGAGCTAATGGAGAATAAGAAAATATGGAAGTGTCTGTATCCAGCTTATAAGACAGAATTTGCGAAGTCAGTAATAGAGTAACAAATGAATTGAATAATCATATTTGTAACAGAATTATGAGTTACAAATAATTTGAAAATCCGCAGTATCATCTATTTCTAACAAAGAAAAATTACAACACCCACAATCACGAATCCGTAAATAAAAACCTAAAATTCCTGTATTCATATGCAAGTTAATATACACGCAATATGTTCACATGACATCTAGCCAACAAAGAGATGTTGTAGTAAAAAGATATTGATGGCACGAGAATGAAGTGGAACCAATTCAACAATGCTATATCTACACAACTTAAAAAAAAAAAAACTTTTGCTACCGAATTAAGTCAGCTTCCGCCACAAGGAGACTTTTGAAGCTGATAAGCACTTGACCCTTGGGAAGACAAAGCCAGCCTTAGGAGGATTCCCATCAACAAGAGAATGCTCATATATGTCTTTGCATTCTTGAACAACCTGTTACACAAGATAATGTAGTCAAATTAGGTCCGGTCACCCGTATGACAGGCTATTCTTTTTCGAACTAGCATTATCAGACAAATCCAAGTTTCTGCATCCATAATGTATAGCCAACCATTTCATCAGAAGTAAAGTTATCCTCACGGTTCTTTATAAGGATTGAATGGAGAAAACCCAAGGAAGGGTTTTGCAAGAGCCCTTGATTAACTTAAAGCAATAAAAACAAAAGCCATACATGAGTAACTGAATCCTCAAACTTGACCCAACCATGGTCATCCAGTTGTTATTAGGTGTCCTGAATTCAGCAATCTATATTTGAAGCGAGTTTCAAAAAAGAGACCCAGATATTCTAACTAATGTTATCATCAGATTATTTTCTCGATTTGACATGATGTTCTTAACAATGCAACACTAAAAATGTCCTAATTTAACTTTCACTCGCAGATATTTTGTAACTGTTATGTCAGCACTGGCAAAAAATGGAAAAGAAGTGTAAATTGACATGAACTAACAATGTAAATTGAAGAGGAAGCAACCATTTTTTTACTTAAAAAAGTGGTGGTGCAATATATGCTATCTTCATATCAGTTAGTAGATGGAAACATGAGGCCATTCAATGTCATAAGCAAGAGGAGACAAGTTGCAATCAAGTACTATGTATTTGCTATCAAGTATTAAAAAGAAACAGAATATTGTTAAAATCCTACCAAGACAAAAGCTTACCTCTTTTGCATCTTTACGGGGAATACCTTCACGAAGCCCCACTATTTTCTCAACAACTTCAGGCTGTAGCACACAGCATTAAGAGATTATAAGAGTTTGAGAAGAATAAAAGGACAAAACAGCTCACAGCCACAAAAATGTAGAGCACAAGTCACAGCTTTGAAGAACTTACAGGACAATCTGGATGATTATCTAGAATATTGGTGTATACAAGTGTGAAGGAATCTGGGCTCTCAGATGAAGCAAGCTCTCTCAAGTCACCAAGTATTTTTATCCTGTTCTCAACTTTCTGTGGAGCAGGGACAAATTTCAATGCCATGCAGTAAAGGATAACAGCAAAACTTTACAGCTCAAATAACCACTAGCCCCCTATAAAATTTGTTCCAATGCTATGCCGAAGTATATGTTCTTAGAAAAGCCTGAGTTCCACACAGCAGAAATCATATTTGACTCCAATCTACCGTAATTCATAACCAAACATGCCAAGAAAGTGACAAACAAAAACAAGCCTGCACAGCACATATTGCACCACTAAAACCATCTGTAGCATTGACAAACAGGATTCATAGTGTAGCATTCTCTTCATCACAATTGTATTTATTAAAGAATTGAAGCAAAACATACAAGTAGCCAGAGAGAATTTCAAAATATACAGAACAACCTATTAGAATAAATACACAGCAACAGAATACTTACAGAAACACTGATGTACTCCCTGAAAAAGTCCATGATAACCTCTTCATCGAGCCTCATCCTTTCAATTGTTTCTTCCTTGATATAATTTTTCTGCAACATCCAGAAAATGCAGTCAAATCATAAATGGGTTCATGGAGGTAACAGCCAACACATTTGAGGGAGAATTTAATGAAGAGTTGAAAATTGTGTTGCACAGGAAAACCTGAGTAAGAAGATGGTCAACATAGACCACCACGGTTTCCTCCAGGCAAGCCTCGACAAATCTCCTGAATGATCTTTCTTCAATGTACCTTAACAAATTACAAAAAGAACACAAAAAATTTTGGGTATGAACAGGATGTGACTATCCTTAGAGGCTTAACATAGAAATTACGAGTCGACAACTTACATCTTTACATCAGTAAAATAATCACCAAAAGTTGCAACAAGGTATTCAGTGACCTGTCCTTCCAGCCAATCTGAAAATTTTCAAATGAAAAGATGGTAAGCTATGAAATATGCATTCAACTACAAGATAAAATTGAAATTACGATTACAGCCATCAATGTTCCCTTGAAGATTGTATAAGATTGAAGAATAGTGGTATAATTTCGGTATTATTTTTCACAGCTTAATTCATCTAGGTGCCCATATGCAAGAAAATTATCATCTTATGAGGGAAGCAACACTATCAGATGATGAAGAACAAGCATTACTCTGTAATTTTTGAAAGCACAGGTCACGTACGAAATGGGTTCAGTGATTTTGCAGATCACTATAGTTCTGCTTTAAATCCTATTAAATAAATTCTATTAAATCCTTCACATTTAATGGAGAAAAGCATACAGATAGACAGTACTTTTCTTTAATGGCTTCAAATACCAGTTTCTTGTGGTTGATTAATGAATATCGGTGCATTTTTAGTCGGCCATTTATTCCCTATCAGCCATGCAAAGTAGCCAGAATATCTGAGATGAACTCAAGACAAATGCTCTTTCTCCACACCCCCCACCCCGCTCGAAACAAGAAAAAGAAAATCCAATAACCATTCCAGTCACCTGTATGCTACAGAGAGTATTCTCCTACATCCCAAAAGTAAAAAAAACCTCCAATTACACACCGAAGTTGCACAACTCTAAAGAGATTAATCTAATGCATGTATGATTTACCTTTATGATAAAGCTTCACAAGCAACTCTTGCACACCAGGATCTTCAAAAATCACACTGACTGTTTGATGAACAGCCTCCTAAAATATTAACAGAAGTATAAAAAAGACATCCAGAGAACACAAATTCCTTGTTGATGCACCCTACTTCAAACATAATATACTGAATTAACATTATTCCTGAAAGAAGCATGAAGGATACAAAGATGAAACTGGACGTCAAACATGCTCCAAAGACATTGCAGGGGAACTTTTTGTAGACCAAAAATGGAAGTAAGTCTTCATTTCAATATGATCACTGGAGCAGCAATCAAACACCCCCTCTCTCTCTCACATACACACGCACAAGAAAAAACAAACACAAAACAAAAAAAACCATAATGAACTGAACTGGAAATAGAATTCGCTAAACCAAGGAGTTGGATCACAAGTGTTGGGAAACATATTACACAAATGAAGACAATTAAAACATACTTTTGCAACCTCCAGGAAACCTTTGCATGTGTCCTCAAAATTAACCTGTGACATAAATAAATTCAAAATAACTACTTTGTCATCAAAGTCAAAAAGCAACTGGTGGCCACATCCATGATAATAGATAATGTAAGAAAGGCCATTTCACACAAATTTTCAGCGAATATTGCAGAACCAAGCACGCAACTCTAAAACTCTGAGAATTTAATGACATAGGTGAAATCAAAAGCAACGCGGCCCATGCCAGCAAGATTATAGGACATTGGAAAAGGGGAACAACATCCTGCTATCACATTCTTAATCTATTCTAAATCTGTAGATATGAGAGCTCTGCAGATGGAGAATGATGAATTAACTCTAACTCACATTGTTCATTCCACAAGGAATCAAACTGACTAACTAATGACACTAAGTTAGCAATTGATGCAGAAAAAGATGTTTCAGCGGATTATAACATGCCCATTAAACTCCAGAGTCCAATACTGCATATGAATCTGTATATAAATACACAAACCACAATGAAATAAGAAGGTAGAAGATGATATGCTTTAGAGCTAGTAAACCTGCTCCGCGTAATTAGGTGGAAGAGCTTCAAGGGTGCTTGAACTAAGCTCCATGGCAAGATCATAACACCGAAGGTTATTATTGATCTGTTATTCAGTAAAATTCTCAGTGAGACAGAATAATGACTTTTCCATATGGTTGTATTACACATTATAGTCAGTACACTCAAATACCATAGCACACAACGGTTCTAGACCGATTTCAGAAGCAGGTTCTTCCAATCTCTGCCGCTCAGCTCCTTGGAAATCAATCATAACCTGAAGGAAAGGATATTCAAATAGGTGCAATTAAATAATATACATGCCAAGTGTAACATGGACGTTGAGCTTGAAGGGCCAGAAATAAAAGCAAATAGAGAAAAAGACGGTGAATCTTATAGGATGAGATTTTTCATATGTAATTTCCCCAAAGTTATGGAGTCACATACTCCAAACGAAATCCTGTGCTGAATGTAAACTAGCTGCTCAATGAATTTTTGAGCAGGAAGTACACAAGATTGGAACTTTTTGTTAGTAAAATCATATGGACCATTTGAGAACATGCTTTATAAAGGAAAAAAAAAAACAAATGAGAAAAATTCCAAACTAAATCCTCTTATACAGCTCAAAGAGGCATAACAAAGTTCTATCCATACCCACAAAAATCAAATAAAGAGTGGTTTAATACTAACAAACCCTTAATGTAAATGTCCAAGGATCTGAAAGTCAAGAAAGGTGATTTCAAAGTCCAAGTAACAAGACTGGCACATCTTCCCAAGTTCTTACTAGAGAAGCTTGGTTGACAGTTTAGCAGCAAACTACCCAGAAAAGGCTAACATCTGAAAATTTAAGAAATCTTCTCAATACGATTTGGAAAAATTATCTCTTCAACCTACCTGAATTATAGCCAATGATATTCTGTACAACATAACATCAGTGCTATTTTCCCGAACTATTTGCACTTGTTCTCCTAGAATTCTGAATAAGTCAACAGCAGCAGGGGTATAAAGTTTCCCATCCTCTGTCTTCTTTGGTGCTTGTACCTTGTCAGCCTCAAGTATATTCAAATACCATTTCTAGAGAACAAAGTAAAATCAAGATTAGCAAACTAAAGGAAGATGCAAGGAAAAATGGATCAGAAGAATTAAACATCAAATCAAGTTAGTACCCTTGTAGTTGCTTGCATTCTTTCAACATATGCATTCATGAGTGGATCCATAGAGCCACTCTCCGAACAAACTTGAGCTAAGGATTCATCCACACCTAGGCCAATCAAATTCTCCTGGTACTCAACCACCCAACCAGTTACCTGTACGGGCAATGTAGCAATCATATCATTAAAACCGATTGCAATGACAGCATCAGTATCAGACAAAAAAAATGTGGACACTGAATCTGGTATAGTTTTTTCAACTACAACTTAGAAGTCAATCTGGTATAGTTATAGTATAAAGTAACAGCAATTCAGGCTTCATATAAAGCATTTGAATTGTCAAAACATGGTTAACGAGAAGTAAGATTCTGTTACCTTTAAGATTTCTATATTCGTCATTTCATTAGCTTTGTCACTGAGCAGTCTTAGCCATTGAATAAACCTCTCAGTATAAAGATTCACCATGAGCTGGAAAATTTCATATCTACAACCGAAAGGAAAAAAAAATCAACTGACATGATAGAGTAAAAGTGAAAACAAGACTCAGTCAAAATTTAAAACATGGAAAGGTGAGTTGCTAAGAAGCTGATGCACTCGAAGAAGTCTCCAGTGATTCATAATGCTATATTCATGGCCTTTTATGAATAACTAAATGCCACAAAATGAAATCATCTTTGTTGAAAAACAGGGAAAAAAGAGAGAAGACATGCATTCCCTCTTATTGAAGAGTTAAAAGGCAGTTGAAATTTAAAAGTATGCTTTCAGGTGGAATTGGATATTAAAAAGATTATAACAAACTACTCAAACAGAGGTGGATAGAAGAAATGTTGTAAAATTGTGAGCTAAGGCACTATCATCCAAGAAATATGACGCAACTCCATCCCTAGTGGATGACCATTATAAAGAAGTGGCATAATATGTGAGAACCAATTAAGCACGCGACAGAAAACACCTAACCGATTCGATTACCAAGATAGCAGCGAAAAAGAGCAAAAGTATACAGTGTGTTATAAGTTCAGCATAAGATGAACATTTCATTAAGCGCGTACTACTGGACTGGTTCTTCATATACTTGCGAAATGAATTGTGACTGGATAACAGGTCATTCTAACACTATAATACAACTGGAGTTTCATCATTAGATTAGTGACCGCCAGTGAAAAACGGGAATACTTGTTTTAATGTGAAAATTTTACCAATGTGTTTACTCAAATTTTAGTACATTATCATAGTAAAAGCATCAGAAGTAGCTACCAAGTTCAGAATTATGGAAGCAAATTCAAGAGCAATGATCTAGATAAACAAAGTGACAGACAGAGAAACAACTCAAAATGCCATAACTTAAAAACCAACAAATCCAATAATGAAAAACTGGCCAACCTTGGGGGAAAGCAAGGAGCCACGTAATCATATATATCTCCGAGCTCTTCTCCTATCTGAAACAAGAAGCAATCAACTATTAATAGAAGAAAATCTAAATCAAAAGTTAAAAAATGGGAAACTTTCATCTAAAATTCTGCAAGGAGGAACTGAAAAGACATAGCTTTCAGTACTGCAAAAGGGTCAACATAGGTTTGGATAACGGCATAAATCTGTGTGTTTCTCCCAGTTCTTACCCTTACCAGATTCAGGTTAATAATTAAAAGCTTCTTTATATGTAATTAAATAAGAAGTACAAAAGTGGCTTACCGTTTTAGCCTCCTCTATAGCTGCTTTTAGATCTTCCTGCATTATGAAGGTAAAATAGATTATAAACCCATTCGGTACAATAGAAAAGAGAGTGAAACAGTTGAATATGCAGCAAAGAAATGTGATATAATGAACCTCTGCAAGCAGCTTATCAAAACGTGCTTCCACAGACTTTCTTATGTGCTCATAGCATTTGTCTTTGTAGCCTTTTCCCTGGACCTTCAGTTTCTGCTGAGTGAGATTTCTAGAAGAAGCCATTGTAGTTGTTGATTTCCTGAATGCCAGAACCATTATTAGAACACTAAATAGACACCAAGTCTTATGAGATAGTTCGCACAGATTTTTCTGTATTAGATCCTTATATCATTAGAGAAAAAGACGATCATTTTGGGAAAAGAGACATTGCAAAGGAAACATAAAAATGGAAGGATTAAGATTACTTTGCAGTTCTTCGAGGATTGGCAACTGATGCCATCACACCACCTCCCTCAGCTTCAGCTGCTTCTTCGGCAAGTTGTTCATCTAAAATCTCTTGCATTTCAACAACCCTTCAAGGTAAAACATATATCAGAAAGGAAATCAATCAAACAAAAATGTGCAAAAACAATGACGAAGCACGATGGTCTAAGATCAAGGGTCAAGAACAAGCAAATCCTGGCAAAGACACAGGATGCACACGAGATTTCAATTTCTTCGGAAATAATAATTTACAAATAAAAATGGCATACCTCAAAGCACGAACAAGTGTTTGGGGGCTGCAGAAAGAGAAAAATATGAGATTAAACGTCAAAAAACAAGAGATGTGTAAAGGGTTAGTAAAATGTGAATGCTTACAACAAAAAGCTACATACGAGTAACACCAAACAAATGGCGAACTAAACATAAAAGTGTAGAAATAAAACAACAATACAACTATTAGATAGTGGTTCCCATCTGGTCTATCAGAGAAATGACAAGATCAAAACTGAAACAGAAAAGTCCAGAAAATAAGTTTTGATAGATTTTTTAGCACGCCAAAAAGGAACTCTTCACCCATTCACCACACATTCACTAAGGATTAACAGCTAAAATGTCTCTTGCAATACCCTGATGCAAACTAACCTGGGTTTACGTAAGATAAGTATTTAAGATTAAATTAAAAAGTTCTTTTACTTGAGTCAAGATAATGAATAAGCAGTTGCGGAATCTAGCAGCTAACTGAACATATTTTCCGAAGCCAACTGATACGATAATATCAGTAAAAGAATGTAACTAATAAATGGGCAAGATATATACAACACATTTGCGACAGATTTAAACTTAAAACATCTAGTTGTCTAGATATAAAATGGTGCATCAGATAGAATAAAGAAATCTATATAAGCTCAGTTGCAGTAAAAATACCTCTCTTTAGCTAATTGAAAGAAATTTGAAACATGACCCCATAGCGTCGTCTCAAATGTCTCCCATGTATGATCTACATCTTCAAAATATTCTCTGTACAGTAGTACATAGATTAAAGGGAAAAAGGTTCAACCATATGGTGTAAAGCTTTAGCAGAACACAATTAACAGGACCAAAGAGTACACTAAATTCTTGCTACATAACTTCACAGACATATACCACAGATATTATTTACAAATTTTGTGTGGCATCACCAATGGCAACAAAAGTATGTCAGAAAAGAAAGTATGAACAGTAAAATGTTCGAGCTACAACTCCGTTGCTTTCAAATTCGAAAATAAGAACAGAAACATTTTCCTGAGCAAATTAAACTATGCCAAAATGTATTGTCCTAGTTTTCGCTTACCGAAGATATGACTATCTGAAAGTATATACAAGGAAAAAAACTCTTGTCAAACAATGGAATCCAGAATAGCACATAAGCATCGACGTAGATGATTGAAGGGTCCTGACCTTAGTCTACCGACCTCTTCCTTATGAGATTCAGCAGCAGCTAAAGCAAACCTTCTTTTTCCATCCAGTGCAGTTAATCTCTATAGTAACGCAAGTCGGAATAAAATTACTTGATTATTGGATCTCCAAATAGAAAATTTGTATCACATATGAAATATAACCCCACCTCATAAGAGTTTATTAGTTCCTTATCATCACTCAAAGAGTCCCTTGCTTCAGAAGCCTCAACAGAAATTGACATCATACCCTCAACATCCTGCAAAAACATGCACGATTTGAGATCAAGAAAATACAGAGAAAAAGGCTACATTCTAAGTTTGTACAATATCACAAGAAAATAAAGAAAACCTGCAACCTATGATCTATCCTAACCAAACATAAAATCTACAGTTAACTTGCAAAAAACAAAAGCATATAAAACGACAAAGTGAAAGAACACCTTCAGGGTTGTGTTTAAGTTGTTCCGTGCATTGCTCAAGAGCTTGATCTGATCATGATTTTCAATAAGATTTTGGCATTCTTGACATAACCTGATCAGAAAAAAAGAAAATCAGATAAACCTAATTGTGGCACATAATACTAGTATAAAACGGAATTTTAAGATGGTAACAAAGAGAGACTCTATTAAACAAGCAACTCCATCAATGCCTTACTTCTCAATAGAAACAAAGTTCTCACGAAGCTGGTTTATAGTCTTTTGTGATGAATTCAGTGATTCTAGTCCGGCCTGTGCTTGTTCAACCTGTATTCCAGCAAAGATACACATAAAAAGCTTTCTTAGTACAGGAAAAAGACCCTGAATCTTACTGTTCGTGAAGAACAAAGGGACTAGCACGAGATACCTGTTCGACCACCATTGTACTAAGCTGTGCATCATTCGCCTGAATCAGCACAAAAACGAAGCGTATGAATACGTAGCCAAACACTTTAAAGAGCTGAACGCGAATTTCAGTTTCCAATCTCTAATTATAAAAAAACACCAAATCATGCAGTTCAATTACAATTGAATTAAGCACTACCTGCTGCAAACAAATAACTACTGCTTTCCTAATCCTCGATTTCTTTTGACCACAATTGAACGCGAATTTAAAAATTCCAATTCACATCACAAAATCTCAAGACTCAAATGGAATAGAATTTTGTTAACCTGTTGGCGAGCAATATAATCGGCTTTAATCGAAGCGATAGAATGCAAAAGCTCCGGCAATGGCAATAGCTTTGCCACCTCCCTAACCGCAGCCTCTTTCGCCTCCACTCCAAGATCTTCGACCATCATCTTGTTCCCCTATCTCTCTGTAGCTTAAGCTAAACTGCGCTGAACTCTATACGCGAAGAAATGCATACAAATTCGCTGTCTTCACCAGTAAGATTTTACAAAATCAATAGACCTGAATTGTTCTGAACATTCAACAGGGGAAAAAGGAAGACGGAACTGTAAAATTTGGCGAAGTTTCTAATTTGGTTTGAGCAATTCAGAGGACAGCGCGATGGGACCTGTTAACAGAATCTGGATAACCATTTAACCGACCCGTGGTAAATTTGGATATCTTTTTTGGGCCAGAAATAAAAGCTTCTATACAGACACACTCTATGGATTTCAGGCCCAAAATAGCCCAACCCAGTTAAAGCGTCTTCAATTTTCCATTTCAATTTTTGAGGGATCTAGGTTAAATAGCAAAATGAACTACTAAAATGAAATGAAAGGAACATTGTGGACATAATAATAATAAAAAATGAAAATTCAAATTGGACAATAATTTTGAAACAGAGAACACAAAAAGTTACTTGGAAATCAACACATTAAAGAAAATAGGACAATATTGTTTTAAGATAAGCGTAATTTTGGGGATATTCAATGGAAAAGAAGAAAAGAATCGCAAAGAGTTCTTGCTGATGAAGTTTGGTAATCATTTAAAATTTTTCATTTTTATTTTTCCCATAATATATCATCTTCTTCTTCGTTTCCAATAAAGTCAAATTTATTATACTATTATATTTTAATAATCTAGGAACATATACAATACTTTTTATGTCCCCAAAAAAATAATACTTCCTCCGTCCCACAAAAAAAAAATTTAGTTTAATAAAAAATTTTGTCTCAAAAAAATAGTGCAGTTTCACAAAAATCAAAATTAATTTGGATAAAATGACTTAAATGTGCACATCACAAATTAAATTAGGGAATGCTTATATCCTATTCCTATCGGAAGATACTCTCAACTTTTCCGCGGAGATGGAAGACGGGAAGGGCCAAGCGTCAGACTAATCTATATAGGTCGTTCTCTGCCGATGGGCCGCCTTTATTCTCTCCACTCCGATTTCTCACATGGTGACCGGAGGCGACAGAGTTATTTGTGGAGTTGTAGAGCCACATCATTGGTTATCCCAACTTCAAACAAATTTCAAAATCAAAGATCCTTTTAACATTGTCGGCCGTTGACGGATTTGGTACTAATTCCGATGCTTCCGGTACTAATTTGTCTTTGCTTCTTTTGATATTGTCCGCCGTTGACGGATTTGGTAACAATGGATTCACGGCTCCATCCGAATTTCTGGATGAGTTGATTAGGCAAAGAGATTATGATAGTGTGAAGCCAATTATGAAGTAATTGTATAAGGATTCAAGTAGTTCTGTGCTCAAGGTTATAATAGGAATCTTTGAGCAACCTCTTTTGGGCATTACTTATGTTGATTAATTTTCCCATTGGAGGTATTCTGATTCTCCGGCTGAAGGAGTGTTGCGGCGAAAAAGGTATAAACACAACAAACCAGCGGAAACGATTCCCAAGAAAAATTCTTTTCCTACTATCAATAAAATAGGACAACCAACCAAACAAACAACTAATTCAAGAACTGATAAAATAAAGTAGACTCACAAATTTACGTGAAAACCCAAATCGGAAAAAACCACGGGACTGTAACAACAGTCAAATCTCCACTATCACAATAATGGGAAAACAGTCTTCACCAATCGGTGAATACACAGGACTTCACCCAAAGGTGGATTACAACAATGCTCTTCCACACACCCCTAAACCACAAAGTAGGATTAGAAGGATCTAACCAAAAGAGAGTTAAACCGAAAACTAAGCCCTAACTTTCTTCATTTTTACAAAAACTCTTGCTCGGCTGCCCTAATTCTCCTTCTCTCTCGGCTAAAAAACATACCCAAAAGGTTGTGTGTAATCTTGCTTTTATAAGCATAAAAAATCAGAACCAAAACAAATTGGGTTTTGGTCTTTCGGTCAAGCACCACTTATGTGGTCAAATCCGGTTGGGCCCTTATTTGAGGAGAATCAGGCCCAAGAATCTCCCCCTTCACCTCAAATTGGGGGGGGGGTAAAACCAAACCCGCTTTCTGTCTGTAAAACAGGAGCTTGTCTCTACTCATCGTTAACATATCGGCACCGTTGTCATCTGTATGAATCTTCTCAAGAAACAACGTCTTGGTCCAACACATGATCCAATGATATCTCACATCAATATGTTTAGATCGCGAATGAAATGTGGAATTCTTAACTAAGTGAATAGCGCTCTGGCTATCACAATGCACCACATATCTCTCTTGCTTCATGCCAAGCTCTTGTAGAAACCTATGCAACCAAAGTGCTTCCTTACAAGATTCAGTAGCTGCGATAAACTCTGCCTCTGTAGTAGACAAAGCAACACACTTTTGCAACCTACTCTGCCATGAAACTACTCCCCCTCCATAAGTCATCAAGTAACCAGAAGTAGACTTCCAACCATCAAGGTCACCCGGCATGTCAGCATCTATATATCTATCTAAGATGGTCTTCCCATTGCCAAAGCAAAGACTCAATCTGGAAGTATTCCTTAGATATCTGAGAATTCACTTCACAGCATTCCAATGCTTCTTACCAGGATTGGAGAGAAACTGACTAACACCACCAACTGCATGAGCTATGTCTGGCCTTGTGCAAACCATCGCATACATCAGGCTGCCAACTGTCGAAGCATAAGGAACCTTTTTCATCTCTTCTTTATCTTTCTCATTTTTAGGACACTGCGTTTGCTTAACTTAAAATGCCTCGCAAGTGGAGTCGAGACTTTCTTAGCACCGCCCATGTTAAACCTACATTCACAGCTTGGTTCAACAAACCTTGAAACGAACTCAAGTGCTCATTCATGCTAGCACCATCTTTGTACCTCAACTTGGTAATCTGTTTCAGAGCAGATGACTTATTGATGCCGGACTCCTTCCAATACATATTCTGGATTTTCACCCAAAGTTCATCAGCTTTTGTTTCTCCCGAAAAGTGATGAAACACACTTTGATCAATCCACTGTCAAATATTACCAACAGTCTTCCTTTGCATATCAGCCCACTTTTTATCAATTGTATCACTTGGCCTACCTTCATCCCCCAGAATAGGATCAGACAAATCTTTGCAATACAATAAGTCTTCCATTCTAGGTTTCCACATATGATAATTGGATGAAGTTAATTTAATCATCGTACTAGCACCCGATGACTCTTCCATTTTATTGGTATAACACCTCAACTACCGAACCGTAGCTTTGATGCCACTGTTGTGGCGGAAAGTGTATAAACACAACAAATGAGCGGAAACGATTCCCAAGAAAAATTCCTTTCCTACTACCAATAAAATAGGACAACCAACCAAACAAGCAACTAATTCAAGAACTGATAAAATAAAGTAGACTCACAAATTTACGTGAAAACCCAAATCGGAAAAAACCACGGGATTGTAACAACAGTCAAATCTCCACTATCACAATAATGGAAAAACAGTCTTCACCAACCGGTGGATACACAGGACTTCACCCAAAGGTGGATTACAATAATACTCTTCCACACATCCCTAAACCACAAAGTAGGATTGAAAGGATGTAACCAAAAGAGAGTTAAAACGAAAACTAAACGCTAGCTTTCTTTCTTTTTCTTTCGCACAAAAACCCTTGCGCGGCTGCCTAATTCTCCTTCTCTCTCAGCTAAAAAACATACCCAAAAGGTTGTGTGTGACCTTGCTTTTATAAGTATAAAAAATCAGAACCAAAATAAATTGGGTTTTGGTCTTTCGGTCAAGCACCACTTATGTGGTCAAATCCGGTTGGGCCCTTATTTGAGGGGAATCAGGCCCAACAAGGAGAAACAAAAGAAATAACCGATTCCTTCTTGTGCGTAAATTTTTGGTTGTCGAAGTTGGGATTGTAAGTAGGGTCATTATTGGAAGTTTAAATGATAAAATGAGTTGTACATTGGCCCAGTGGACCAAATTAAAAAAGTCGTATATTTTAAAACTGAACTATTTTTGTGAGACGGAAGAAGTAATTTTACATTGAATCGTGAGTTTTATACTAGGACAGAAGTTGTAAAATATTTTTCTTTATATATATATATCATAACTTCATTTTAAAGTGAGCTTCTAAACTCAATCGAAAGTGCAATTAAATTCAAAAGTATGTAATGTCATCTTCATAGAAACCAACAAAAAGTCAATTTCAATCTCATTGTTTTTCCATTTTGAAGAAAAATTCTTATTGTAGTGGTTACTTGTCATACAATGCAAGTAACTCTTCCGTTCTACCCACTTTTAGCAGATTCAGATTTCGGGCTTCAAACCCGTGGAGCTATCTACACTACGCACTTTTTCAATTCCTTTTTTGGCAAAAAGAAGTGGCAAATATCAAATAGAATTTCGTTATCAGTTGAATTCATATGGCCGGCAAAAGGTTGATAAACCGACGGATCGAAGTAAGGTGTTGTTGCACCAGAGTGATCATCGTGGCATAAATCTACACCATTCTAAAGAGCATTTTTGTGGAAGTCAAAGTGAATATTTAATCATCTATATATGCCAGCTAGTAAGGATTAATTTACACTTAAATTTCGGTCATTGGTTCAAAACCTGTACAAAATAGTCTTGAATTGTTCGACTGTTCCACTCATTAAAGACTTAAAATATCCACTATTTAGGAATATAAGAATTTGACATGGACACCATGCATATATATATGAGAGGGAAAAAAAAAATGGATTACACTCTCTCCGATGCGTCGACGTATGTATGTATAATATGCACTATCTTTCTCAATAGTGTTTTTGTATATTGGTAGTCCTAGTTTTACATTAAAGTTGCTTATCGAGTTAGCCAAAACGTATCTGGGAAGAAATTAAGCATTGAATTGAACCATATCATCTGGACTTATTCCCAAAATGTCATACTGTCTCAAATAGATTCAAGTCCAAAGGATAAAGATTTCCACGAAGAAAAAGGCAAATATCTTTTTCACATTACATTTTTTGTTGCGTGTGGTCATTGATCACATGTTTGAGTTTATTAATTGCAATCTATATATCCTATTAAAACAATAGTTCAAGACAAAAAAAAAAAGGCTGACGTGTCGCATTCTCATGCATTCGTTTCCCACTCAACAAAAACTACATAATTTTGTGAAAAAAAATTAATTCCTACAATTATAATCAATCAATTAATATTAATAGAATAATGCATTAA